GAGTGCCAGCTTTGAGCTGAAGAGCTGAGGGACAGCATCCAGGCCCACTAGCCCCACAACTGACAAAAAAAGTTAGCCCAAACACAACTGCACAACTGAGGTAGCAAAAATCTGACTGTAGAGGTGTGGTTCAAGTGGTAGAGTGTCTACCTTGAGCAAAAAAAAAAAGCCAAGCAACAGTGAAAGCTCCTGTACCAGCAAAAAAGAGAAAAAATGATGGAGGAAGAGGAGGTGAAGGAGGAGGAAGGGTTGGAGTTATGGCTCAAGCAGTAGAGCATTTACCTAAAAAGCACAAGGTCCTGAGTTCAAATCCTAGTACAGCAAAAATAAATAAGTATATATTGAAGAAGGAGGAGGAAGAGGAGGAGGAAAGGAGAGTGATGGAGGTGAAGTTGATCAGGTTACACTGTATACATGTCATAGTGAAACTTCCCCTTGTACAAATCAGCATGCTAAGCAAGCACCCGTGGCTCATGCCTGTAATCCTGGTCACTCAGGAGGCTGTGATCTGAGAATTGTGGTTCAAAGATGCTGGAGCAGTCAGATCTGAGAGACCTTCATTTCTACTTAACTAGTAAAATGCTGGAGATGTGGGTCATGTAGTAAAACACCAGGCTTGAGAGTAGAAGGTCCTGAGTTCAATCCCTACTACAGGCACAATCACACACACACACACACACACACACACACACACACACACACACACACACACACACAAACTACCACAATTATATTACCATAATGAAATGTCTAATGGTCACATATCATGAAGAAAGAAAGATAGCTTCATGCCATCAATTTAGTCGTGTCACATATTAATGTAGAACTGGGAAGGAGTGAAGCTGATCAGAATATACTGTGCACATGGTACAATGAACTCCCTCTTGTACAACTAATGTATGCTAATAAAAAGAAAAAAGATCCAGACACCAGGTTCTCATGCTTGTAATTTTCAAAGCCACTTGGTTTCTAGAGTTCAAAGGACTTAGGAATTGTAGCTAAGAAACCAGGAACCTGGATGTGGGCTGAGCATTTACACTGGGCTGCAAAGATGATAAGCTATGATGAGTTAATTTTCTGCCGTGAGAAGGTGAGACATCCACAAAGTCTTGTCTTAACATGACACTGGAGTCACCTATGGAGTAAATTGCTTTCCTGAGCTGAGCTCCACTGTCAGGTTAAAAACTGACTACTGAAATTTGTACAGAGTAGAGATCAGAGTGGAAAATGGGTAACTTTTTATTGAACATTATGGGAACCCTGAGAAGAGGAGCTGAAGGAAACTGTGAGAGGTTAGTCATGTCTGCATGTGAGAGAATGTAGAATGCACCTTTCAGTTCCTAGGATTCCTGTTGCTTCCATCCAGTCCCTCCATCCATTGCCTTTTGATTAAGGTGAAGTCAGGCTTGGACCCCTTTCATATTCATTCTCGCTCTTTTTTTCCAATCTCAATCTTAATGCCCTGGGATCTACCAGTCAAATTACTTTCATTTGATACTCATCTTCCACTTCTTCTCATCCCATTTCTCATTTTCTCCCTTGTCATAAGTAATCATTTGTCTCTAAGAGTTAGAAAAGAAGTCTGGCCAGGAGCTAGGAGCTCACACTTATAATCTTAGCTACTCAGGAGGCTGATAGCTGAAGGCTGTATTTTTTTTTCAGTCATGGCGCCTGAACTCTGGGCCTGGATGCTGTCACTCACCTCTTTAGCTCAAGGCTAGCACTCTATCACTTGAGCCTCAGCGCCACTTTTGGCTTTTTCTGCTTATATGGTGCTGAGGAATCAAACTCATGGCCTCAGGCATGCAAAGCAAGCACTCTACAACTGAACCACCTTCCCAGCCCCTGAGTGTTGTAATTTAAAGCTAACCTAGACAGACAAATCCATGTAAGGCTTGTCTCCAATTAACCGGCAAGAAGCTGAAAGTGGAGTTGTGTCTCAAGTGGCAGAGTGACAGCCGTGAGAGAAAAAGCTAAGTGAGAGTATGCACCCTGAGTTCAAGCCCTGTGTCAGCATAAAAATAAAATAAAATAAAAAGAAGCAGGAAGATGCTGGTTCATTCCTGTAATTCTAGCTACTCAGGAGGCTGAGATGTGAGGATTGTAACTTGAAGCCAGCCCAGGCAGAAAAGTCTTTAAGACTCCTATCTCTAATAAACTACGTAGAAAAAGCCAGAAGTGCTCTGGCTCAAGTAGTAGAGTGTAAAGTAGTCTTGAGCAAAAGAAGTTCAGGGACAGTGCCTAGGGCCTGAATTCAAGCCCCAGGACTGGCACAAAAAGAAAAGAAGCCTGTCTTGAGTGGGTCAACATCACTCTCACTCCTCTGTCTACTTTCAAAATGTCAGCACAGAACAGAGATAGACTTCCCACCCAACAGCACTATTCAAAGAGGTCATCACTAGCAGAGGTGAGTCCGAGATGTAAAAAGAAATGTTTAGTCAGAGAGACTGGGAGGATACCAGACATAACAACATTCAAACTTTGCTTCCAGAAACAGGAAGGATAAAGGAAATGAGAGTAAACTTGGGCGGGGGGAGTGAAAGAAAAGGAGAGAAAAGAAAAATTTACATCACATTAAGCAAAATGCAGTCTCTCATGTATGTTCCTGACTCTCAAGACTGTTATAATCTAGGAAAGTGCAGCTGAAAAAATGCCCTAAGGAAAGAAGGAAATCTCAAAACCATTTTCTCAGATTTCCCTTGGCTCATGAATGTCCAACGGCAGTTAATGACATTTAAGAAGTAGGCTGAAGCAGCCACTTGCATTCTCTATGCAGCTCCACAGCTTTACCCCTCCTTAAGAAGATCTAATAGTTCTTTGTTGAAATGATTCTTTTGCCAATTTCCTTGTTCTTCAGAACAACAAAGGGCAAAGGTGATTAAGAGGAAGAGAATAAGACTCCTTTCCAAGTCATTCATTCTACAGCAGTAGAAGAGCTATATGATATATCTTGTACCTTCTAGTCTTTTTTTGGCCAGTGGAGGGACCTGAACTCTGGGCCTAGACGCTGTCCCTCAGCTCTTTAGCTCAAAGCTAGTGTTCTACCACTTGATCCACAGCACCATTCCAATCTTTTCTGTTTGTGTGGTGCTGAAGAATTGAACCCAAGGCCTCATGCATGCAAGGCAAGCACTGGAACTTGGTATCTGAAACTTTTCTCTGGCTGGTACTTTATCATCTGAGCCACTCCCCCAACTCTCTAACTTTAAAAAAAAAAGTGCCAGTATTAGGGCTTGTAGAGCCTTACCAGGACAATCACCATTTTGTGCATAAAAACTCTAATTTGAGACAAGGCCTATTTCTAGCATATGAGCTTAGGTCCCTGAAATGGCCAGAGATGTCCCACTTGCACCCTACCTGATAAGTTCCCCTAGCAACAGCCAATTAGCAAGAAGGTGGAAAGTCCCCAGAGCCCTGAGACCCCAAGTGTTGCATTGCCAGCATATTTTTTGTGGTTTAGCTTGCTGCCCTATCAAATGAAATGGTTAATGGCTGACTAAATGTCTGCTAAAATTGGTAAACCTTGCCACCCCATAAGACAGGGCTCTCAACTCTGATCCTCGGTGTCGGTGATGGTTGGGAGTCCAGGCTCGAGCTTGCAATAAATGACTCTCATGTGCTTGCATCAGAATCAGCTACTTGGTGGTCTTTGAGGGTCCCTATCTGGGCACAACAGGCTTGAACTCAGGGCTTGGGCCTGGTCCCTTAGCTTTCTTTTGTTCTCAAGGCTGATTTTCTACTATTTGTGCCCCAGCTCTACTTCTAGTTTTTGCTGGTTAATTGATTTTCCTGCCTACACTGGCTTTAAACCACAATCCTGAGATCTCAGCCTCCTGAGTAGCTAGGATTATAGTCATGAGCCACCAGTGCCTGGCCCAAGTGCTAATCTGGGGAACATCTCTGCCTTTCTTACTCTTCAGACCCACTTTTTCCTCCAACCCCCGCCTCCCCGGGCCAGACTCTGATTATGGGATTATGCTCACCAAGCAAAGCAAAAGTGATTATTACTGGCTGAATCTCTCCCAAAAACATCCAGAGGAAAGAGAAAGAAAAGGCCTGAGGAGAAGAAGAAAAGGCAAAGGAGAACAGAGGAAAGAAAGGGGACAGGGGAAAGAAACAAAGGAAAAAGACGTAGAAGGGAACAAAGCAGTCAGGGAATGAAGATGACAGGAATGACAGAAGCATAGAGAAGGGGGAGGGTTGTCCTTGAGTTGCACATGCATGATTATGTCGGCACCCCACTCTGCTTTATCAACAGATCTCCAAACCAGTGTTTTCCTAGGCTAAGGGAAAGAATCCAATCCACATGATTTTTCCAGATGTAAGCATAGATAGAATTGTTTAATTGCATTCACAGGGGACAGTAACATTGTGCAAAGCTTAAGAATTATTTCCAAAGACTCTGTGTGATTTCTATTGTAACTCAAGGTAGATTGGAGGGAAGGAGATGATAAAGGATGCATTAAACTCTTCCAGTTCACTCCCAACGCCAAATGAGAACAGGAAACTGACTTGAAGCAGGGTCATGTTCATCACTAGAGCAGCTCTTTGCTTATCTCTTTCAAGGGCAGGAGTTGGAGAGGAGAGACAGAATACCCTGAGAAACTAGTTATTATTCTGTCACCTCTGAGCTCAGAAACCAAATACGAGTTGAATGAACCTGAAGCAAAGAAGAGACACGTTTTCAGAATCAATGATAAAGAATAGCCCATTCTTTATTTGCAGGGATGAACATAGAGCAAAGAAACCTATCAAAATTGTTTTTGAGAAGGGGGAATGGGAAGGATGGCAGTGATGGGGGTGGGGGTAAGGTCGATTGAGATTGTATACAGCTGTAGAAATGTCACAGTGAACCTCTTTGTCGGATTAATGTAGGTTAAGGTTAAACAACCAAAAAAAATTCACCCTCTTTTCCAGAACCTTCTCAGCAATATTTTGAAGAGGAGAAGAGCAAGATGAAAAAGAAGAGAACCAGGTGAGAGAAATAAGAATGAGCTACTTCACTGCTCTAATGACAATGTATTCCTTATGTTATCACAGGCTATATAAATGACCTTTTCCATAATGAATGTCAGGTAATTGCAGTTAGGTGTAACTAGTCCTGGTTTGGACAGTTTGCATATTGTCAAGTCAAAGGGACGGGGACTTCTGTGACATTTGGCCCCCTTGATAGCACAGGCAACGACAGGACTCTTACAGACAGCTGTGACTACACTTGGGTCTTCATGGATGAATGTGTATTGGGCCACACAGCTATGATTGTGCCCCTGGTTCTTGGATGCCATCATGGCATTACACTCCCTGTCACTCAAGTCAAACCTAAGATAGTCTTCATTGCTCTGAAAAAGAGCCTCTGCCTTCATCATCTTGCTTCCTCCCACTTCATCTTCACCAAGGATGGGCTCTTCTGGACCACCAGGCCGCATCATTTCTTTAATGCTAAGCACCAGGGTTTCTGGGGTTCTGGTGCCTTCTCCCTCTTCAGTGGCCCTAGTTTTGTCCTGTGAGTCACTGGACCAAAACTCATTCAGTAGTTGATCACTATCTTCCAGGACTGCTGCAGCCATGTGGAGCCCCAACCCCAGGCCCAGGCCCAGACCCAACAGCAGCAAAAGCAGCATGAAAGAGGTCTGTACCAGAGTCATCTTCATGTTGCCTAGAGGGGAGGAGGGAAATGGAAGGACATGTTGTGAAATGCAAGCTGACTCTAAGGGTGGTGCAAGAGAGAGACAACAGTACTAAAACTTTCCACATGTGCTTTGGGTCTCCTCTCTGTCTCACTCTCCCCTAGCAGTCTTTTCTCATTTGTCCCATGCTTCTCAGCACTTCCCATTACTGCCTAAGCAGTGGATTCTCAAGATTGGAAAGTGACCAGGGGAATTTTTTATTTTGTTTGTCTGTTTATTGTACTGGTTCTGAGACTTGAGAACTCAGGCATAGGCCCTGTCTCTTAGTTTTTAGCTCAAGGCTGGTCTATCATGGGAGCCATAACATCACATCTAACTTTGGTAGTTAATTGGAGATGAGTCCCCTAGACTTTCTTGACCTTCTGGATTTGAACCTTGATCCTCATATCTCAGCCTCTTGCGTGGCTAGGATTACAAGTATAATCCAGTAGTGTTTGGCTGGAAAGTAATTCTGCATTTGGTTCACATATGAGGAATCAATGAGAAAAGTCAACATCAATGATACTCTGTGGTGTGTGTGTGTGTGTCCTGGAGCTTGAACTCAAGACCTCACATTCTCTCTTGATTTTTCTGCTCAAAGCTGGAATTCTACCACTTTGGTCACAACTCCACTCCCACATTCCTGGCTAATTGGAGGTAACAGTCTCACAGACTTTTCTGCCTGGGATGGCTTTGAACCACAGCCTTTACATCCCAGCCTCCTGAGTAGTCATATTTATAGGCACCCAGCCTCCTGAGTATTCATATTTATAGGCACGAACTACCAGTGCTTGACTATACCAATTAATTCTTAAATTATTTCTAAATCATCAAGAGAACAGTTACAAAGGCAAGTGAATACAGAGAAACTTTTATAGGAAGCCTTATTCTTGATAAAGGACTAGAATTATCACAGGAGAGCATGTATCTATTTTTATCCAAATTCATCCAAATAGTCTCCTCAGGAAAAGAAAAATTTATAGAAAAAGTACCATCATTTATTCTCATTTCTAAGCTGAAGCTTTATGCCTAATTTAATCTCACGTTACCATATTCCTTTTCCCACAAAAGACCTCTAGCCGGGCACCAGTGGCTCACACCTGTAATCTTAGCTCCTCAGGAGGCTGAGATCTGAGGATCGTGGTTCAAAACCAGCCTGATCAGGAAAGTCTGTGAGACTCTTATCTCCAATTAACCACTAGAAAACCAGAAGTGGTGCTGTGGCTCAAGCGGTAGAGTGCTCACCTTGAGCTGAAGAGTGTAGGGACAGTGCCCAGGCCCAGAGTTCAAGCCCCACAACCGACAAAAAAAAAAAAGGACCTCTTAGTATTCATGTCCATTACTTTTGTACCCCCAGGGAAGAAACACAGTATGAATAAAACCAAAGAGAGCTAAACAACTAACCTTTTGTGATTCCCTTATTAAAGATTCTTACTGGGTATTGGTGGCTCACACTTGTAACTGGAGGCTGAGATTTGAGGATCGAGGTTCGAAGCCAGCTTTAGCAGGAAAACCAGTGACCCTCTTATCTCCAATTAATTGCCAAAAAAGCCAGAAGTGGAACTGTAGCTCAAGTGGTAGAGTATTAGTCTTGAGTAGACAAGCTCAGAGACAGCTCCAAGACCATGAGTTCAAGCCCTAGGATTGACACCAAAATTTAAAATGAAATAAAATAAAAAATAAATAAAGATTCCAGGGCTGGGAATGTGGCTTAGTGGTAGATTGCTTGTCTAGCATACATGAACCCATGGGTTCAATTTCTCAATACCACATAAAAAGAAAAGGTCAGAAGTGGTGCTGTAGCTCAAGTGGTAGAGTGCTAGCCTTGAGCAAAAGAAGCTCAGGGACAGTACCCAGGCCCTGACTTCAAGCCCCAGAATTGGCAAAAAAAAAAAAAAAAGTACATACATATAAAAATAAGATTTGAAAAGAGGCAAAAAAAAAGTTACAGTTCTTAGAAAAATAAAGATTCTAATCCAAATTTGAGGGCTGGGCTAAAGCTCTGGTAGAGAGTTTGCTGTGCATGCAGTACACTGTGGGTTTTTTCCCCAAATACACACACACACACACACACACACACATATCCTGGTGAGAGGTACCTCACACCCCTATCAGAGACCTATGAACCAAAAGAATAAAACAAAAAAGAACATTATTTAAATATGTAGTAAAATCAAAGGACAGTTCTGTATTATATCTGTGTCTGCAATACTAAATTTTAACAATGTACTCTGATTAAAAGAATATCCTTGCTTTTTAAAAATACACATTGAAGCTAGGTGCTGGATGGCTTATGCTGATAATTCTAAACCACTCAAAAAGCTGAAATCTGAGGATTGAAGTTTAGAACCAGCCCAAGCAGACAAATCAAAGAGACTATATGTCCAATTAACCAGCAAAAAACAGAAGTGGAAGCATGGCTCAAGTGGTAGAACACCAGCTTTGAACAGAAAAGGCCAAGTGAGATACAGCACTCTGAGTTCAAGTACAATACTTGCACACAAAAAAAAGCATATTGAAATTTAAAGGAACCCTACATATGCACCTACTCTCAGTGGCTCATGCCTGTAATCTTATCTACTCAGGAGGCTGAAATCTGAAGGTCATGGTTTGAAGCCAGTCCAGGCAGGGAAGTTCAGGAGACTCTTTTTTTTTTTTCAGGAGACTCTTATCTCCAATTAATGATCAAAATAAAATTAATGACCAAAAAAAAGCCCTAAATGGAACTGTGGCTCAAGTGGTAGAACACTAACTAGTCTGAAGCAAAAAACTCATGGACAGCATTCAGGCCCTGAATTTAATCTCTAGGACTGGTCCCAAAAGATAGATAGATAGATAGATAGATAGATAGATAGATAGATAGATAGATAGATAGATAGATAGATAGATAGATGGATGGATAGATGGATGGATAGATGGATGGATAGATGGATGGATAGATGGATAGATGGATGGATGTATACATGTGTGTGCAAGTACATGCATACAGGGAATGTGAAGAAAATAAAGTTGAGAAAAATAACTTTAAATTATGTATCTGGATAAATAGCATTGAGCTTCCTTCCTTTCTAGCTTCTCTTACTGTAAGTTTTCTATAAAACTTAAAATATAAAAAAAATTATAAGGACAACTGAGAATTGCCCATATTTTTCCCCAGGGCACCCAACACAACTGTGCCTTACCTACACACTAAGGAACTTCAGAAGTTCTTGAGTCTTCCTGTTCTCTAAGTTCTTCCCTCTCAGGCTTTCTCACCTGTGAGCAGTACCCCAGCCACCAGTGTCCAAAGACATGGTGATCTCCTGTGTCCATGCCTCTTAAACACAGACAGACTTCCTTAGCCCACTCTTCTTCTCTCTTTCCCACCCATCCCTGAATCAATTTGCCTTCCTGCTCCCACGAACCAAAACTTTGAAGTAAGGCTATTTGAGGCAATGAAACAGAACCAGACATCCAAAACAGGAAATGTCTCAATCCTGGAGAACAGCAGACAGTTTTATTTCATCAATAAATCATTCTGATCATGCATTACACCCACCAACCAGCCTGTGGTTTACAGAAGTCTGAACTTGTGCGTAAGTTTCCAGTCGTGTCTTCTTACATTTCCCACATGTTCCTCCTTCTACCATTCTTTGTCATTCTGCAATGTTAAGATTGTTTCCCTTTATTTACATCCTTCCAACATAATTGTTTTGCTTTTCACTTTTTTCAACTGTATCATGACTTTACTGAACGATTTGGAATATTTAAGTTAATCATAAACTGTCACTTGCATTTATTACCTTTACCTAGCCCTCTATTCTCCATTCCTTTTATCCATCTTAAAACCAATAATCCACATGCCACAAGGTGCAGGAAGCTCATGCCTGTGAACCTAACTACTTGGTAGGCTAGGATCTGAGAATGGAGGGTCAAAGCCAGCTGGGACAGGAAAGTCTGTGGAGCTGTGGCTCAAGGGGTCAAGTGCTAGCCTTCAGCAAAAAAAACCTAAGGGCCAGCATCCAGGCTGTGACTTCAGGCCCCCACTACTGTCACAAAATCACCATCATCATTATCACCTGCCAATAAGAACAGCCAGATTTTATAAATCTGGTTATTTAGTCCTATATCGGTCTTATATTAGAGATTCTCCAAAGAAGCACAGTCATCATCAGTTCCCATATCCTACATGAGTAAAACCAGGAAGATTATAATGTGGACATTAAAGCGGACTCCTTTAGCCAACATTGATATCATAAGTTATATCTAAATGCACTTTGAAGATTTTTAAGCAATGTAAAAATTCTCTTTTAGGAAGCCTCTTAGGAAGATACTTTTCCTTAGTAATTCACACTGGGATTTTCAAATGGGCCTGATGCTATTTCTGTGATCTATACAATCTGCCTGGCTCATGTTTGTGCAGTACAGATGTTTATCATTTACAATCCAAGCATTGACCACTTATTACATTTCACCCTCACAATTTGCTTGTGATGTCCCTCTTTGGTGTCTGTTCTGCCCAGCCATTCTGGTGAGCTGTCTTTACTACATGGAAAGAAAAATCAAAACAGTCTGAGGTTGGCAGGAATAATACGTTCAATTATAGTCATCACCTGGTGCCCTATTATCCAGCTGTTTTTGGCACTACTAGAGATCATTTGAAATTAATCTTTGAACTTGAAGAAAGGATCTAAGAAAGGATCTAAGCATAACATATAGACAGGTTTTAATTCTTTTCTTTTTTCTTTTTCTTTTTGCTGGTACTGGGGCTTGAAAACCCATAGACTATATCCAGTTTACCACCAGAAGGACGGCAGTGAAGGCATGACTGAAGAGCCACCTTGAACAAGCAAGCTGACGGATAGCATCTAAACCCGAGTTCAAGCCTAGTAACATCCTGGCCGCCCCACCCCCCGCCCCCCAACATACACAAAGAACTAGCAAATATTCACAACTGCACTGCCAACAACAATCACTGCCTGTTCTACAACAGTCAAACAATGTTTTGGAATCTTAGAGTAAGAATTAAGGCTCATAAAGACTATTTAGACTATTTTACAAATAAAGCAAGTGACTTAAAGAAGAAGTGATGAAGTTTTGATAACAGAACTCCTGACTTTGTTTAAGCCAAGTGTAGGATTGACACCCTTAGCACTGATACCTCAATTAGAAACTTGATGATCCATCTAAGCTTTAGATTTTTTGAAAGTAATGCTATTATTTGTAAAAATGAATGGATAGTGAAGATTAATAGATTGGAAAAAACTGAGATGAACTCTGTGATTTGCCCAAAGTACTCCCTGGAGAGGGTTAGTCTCCCTGAGCAGAGTAGGCCAAAGTACCAGAGAGGATAGAATTGCAGAGAGGACTTCTAAGATCTGGAGTGTGAGATACCACTATACCACTGTCAGAGTAGCTGCAATAAAATTCCAGGTGCTGGTAAGGTTGAAAAAAAAAACTGGATCTCTCAAACATTGTTGGTAGAAACATAAAAATTGTAGTCATTATTTAAAATAGTTTGGTAGGCTCTTAAACACTCAATTTATATTTATCATACAACCTATCAGTTTCATCCTTAGGTGTTCAATCCACTGAAGTGAAAATATATACCTACAGATACGCAAATACAAATATAAAATAGTAATTTTCAATGCAGAATAGCCAATGAAAATGGAAGCAATGAAAATGCCTTCAAAAGGAAGGGATTAAACTGTAGTACATGTGTGCTACAGAATACTATGCAGCAATAAAAAGGAATTAATATTGATACATGCAACAATCTGCATAGTCCTGAGTAGAAAAAATCAAATGGTAATATACTAGATTATTACATTTGTATAACATGGGTTGTGTTACCAATGGCTTGTTTTGTTTGGTGTTAGGGCTTGAATATAGGGCCTTACATATGCCATGCAAGTGCTCTACTGCAGAGCTACAATCCCATACAGAGTTAGGTAAATCATCACAGGTAATAAAAACACACAGACAGATATATATATATATATACACACACACACACATACACACACAATGTGCTATCAGTTTTCTACTTCAATATTAGACAATAGTAGGTAAGATGTAGCTACTAGCAGAAATGGAGTAAAGCGTTCATGAAACCTCTGTATACTATCTTTACAATTTCCTATTCATCAATAATTATTTCAAAACAAAATGTTTTAGGCTGAGCCAGGCACCAGTGTCTCATGGTTGTAATCCTCAACAGGCTGAGATCTGAGGATTATGGCTGTACACTAGCCCAGACAGGAAAGTACATGAGACTTTTATCTCCAGTTAATTACCAAAAAGCTGGAAGTGGAACTGTGGCTCAAGTGATAGAGTTCCAGCTAAGAGACAACACACTGGCCCTGAGTTCAAGTCCCGGTGCTCACACAGATACACACACTACACACACACACTAACACATACACACGATATGAATATGTACTTCAGTGGTAGGGTATGTGCCTATCCTGGATAAGGCCCTAGATTCAATCCCAAAAAATGAATAAATGAATGAACAAATGAGCTATCAAGTGATAGTTGAGTATAATGGATTAGGAGTCTGCAGTTTAGAAGAGACTGAACTGGAGGTATAAATTTGGGAGATATTAGCACATGGTTGGGCATCTAAAATCATGAGTTTGCATGAGAGTGTTTCAAGAGGTTTATTTACTTTGTTTTTTGTTCATAATATTTTATATTCATTTTTCATCTTACATTCATTGTTCATTTTCATTTTACAGTGGTAAATTGAACTCAGGTCCTTATAATTCTAGGTAAGCTCTCTACCCCAAACTCTTTGTTTGTTTTAAGATAGAGCTATTTTTTTTCCTTTTGAGACAGTCTTGCTATAGCCCAGGCTGGCCTTGAACTCATGATCTTCCTATCTTACTTCAGCCTCACAGACTGTGTCTTAGTAGTAAAGACCTAGTAGAAACCAGATATCAGTGACTCATACTTGTATTCTAACTCCTTGGCAGATTGAGAGTAGAAGGCCAGACCACACAGAAAATTTCATGAGACTCAGGGGCTGGGAAGGTGGCTCAGTGGTAGAGCGCTTGCCTTGCATGCCTGAGGCCCTGGGTTCGATTCCTCAGCACCACATAAGCAAAATGAAAAAAGCCGGAAGTGGCGCTGTGGCTCAAGTGGTAGAGCGCTAGCCTTGAGCTGAAGAGCTGGGGGACAGCGTCCAGGCCCAGAGTTCAGGCCCCACAACCAGACCCCAAAAAAATAAAAAAAATTTAAAAAAAGAAAATTTCATGAGACTCTAAAAATGACCATCCTAACACAGGGCTTGGAGATATAGCTCTAAGTGATAGAGCACCAGCCTAGCCAAATGAGAAATTTTTTCGTTCAAACACAGCTTTTGATTTTTTGACACAGGGTATTGATAGGTACCTCAGGCTAACCTCACACTTATAATCTTCCATCTTGTCTTGTGAATGTTGGGATTATAAATATATGTCACCATGCTGGCCTGACTTGGGTTTTACCTGTTCAGGCCCTAAGTAGCTCTGGGTCTACTTGAAGATGGATTACTGCTTTCTGAGGGAGTTATTACACATTGTCTTGTTCTTTTTACAAGAGTGACTTGGACAACATCTGTAATGTCAAAGGAGTTTTGCTAATAATGTATAAACAATAAAACAGACCATAACCAGTTTGGTACCACATTCTTCTAGAGCTGACACAGTCTATAGAAATTGTCCCAGAAATCTCATGTAACCTATGATTCCGTTTAGTTATTTCTCATAGCCTGAACCTGTGCTGGAAAAGGTACCAGCTTGCTGACATTCTGTGTTATATCTTCTGTAATTATGTTTGTCTATTTTAATCAATCAGCTTAAGTAAAAATCCACTGCCTTCTTTGGAAGCAGCTTAATTATCTTTACTGATACTTTGTCTGCAAACTTTATGGAAATAGTTTATTATTTACTCTCATGTCTGATACTTTGTCTGCAAACTTTAAGGAAATAGTTTATTATTTAGTCTCATGTATCAAGAAACAAATTTCTTTATAAGTTGCATTTGTGCCATTATCAATCTAAACACCATTCAAAAATGATAAATTAAGCAAGTCATTTTTTTTTACTTGGACTGGGATTTGAACTCAGCCTGGGTGCTGTCCCTTAGTCTTTGGCTCAAGGATGGCATTCTACCAACTTGAGCCACAGCTCTGTCATTTTACTGCTTAATTGGAGATTAGAGTATTATGGACTCTTCTGCCAAGGCTAGCTTCAAACAAGGATCCTCTGATCTCAGACTTCTAAGGATCGCAGATTACAAGCATGAGGCACTGGTACCTTGTTATTTTAATGTTCTGATACCTATAGAGAGTTCTGTTCTTTCTCTAATGTTTAACCTACT